GGGTGGGTGTCTGGGTATACTTCTTGGTGGACAGCCTTGACGACTGGGGCGGCGTAGTGAGCTACTGGGGCAACAGTCTTGACAACAGCTGGGAGATGGTGGTAAGCAGCGACTGGAGCGGCGTGGTAAGCTGCCACTGGGGCGGCGTGGTAAGCAGCTACTGGGGCGGCGTAGTGAGCAGCAACTGGGGCAGAAGCGTAGTGAGATACTGGAGCATCGCTAAGGGAGGAGTAGGAAGTGGCATGGTGTCCATGTCCAAGTTCGAAAACTCCAGCTTGAGCGCAAGCTACCAAAGCAGAAACAGCCAAAATCTAAAACAAATTTATAATTAATTTTTATACCAATAATAATATTATATATTGATCAATTACCTTAGTGAACATGTTGTATGCTTGTGATACAATTCGATACTGTTTAGTAAAATACTCTCTCTTTTATATAAATCCATTCCACTCCAAATTTTAGGAATGTATTACGTAACATCACGCAAATTACGAATTCATAGGTTGAACTTGAAACAGTTTCTTTAAGAGAGGTGCCATATATTCATAGCAATTCTCCATAGCGAGATTAAATAAAACGTATGGTTTTGATGTTCATTTATGAAATAATGTAATAGTTAGATAATTTACCAGTTCTATAATAATAATACTATAATTTTGTATATATTACTTTGACCGTGATTATAAAATCAGGCAAAAGTAACATCTACCCAACTACTTATTTACTTTAATATCTATTATTCCAACCATCAATAGAACCCTGTTCTAACTTTTCTTTGTTCTTCATATAATGTAATAGCTGTTGCAAGATACCATGACGTTGTTCATTAGCCAATTGCTTCGATTTGGCATCTCTTTTTTGTATATTCACGTTATTTGGGTTAAAATTTTCCATTTTGAAAAAACAGCCTTGAGTATTATATATTTCTTAAAAAAAATATTTTTGGTCTTCAAATTCCAACTTAACTCAAAACAAAACGACTGTCAAATATGTTAGACTATTTAGATATCAATGTAAACAATATCAATATAATGAGTATTGACAGATGTTTTCGAAACTCTAAATAATCTAAGATTTACTTCCAAATGTATACCAGGGGGTTAACCGAATATTTAAGTCGCCCAGACCATCTGTGAGGTTCGGCCTATTGACTTCCAGCCAAATCTATGAACAATGACAGTGTTGAAAGATAGTAGCAGTAGTAGAAACTACATGATTTTTCTATTTTTATGTATGTAAAATATTATTATTAATTAAATTATATACTTAATTTATTGCATATATATTTACTACATCATTTTCAGCTATTATTATTTACCTTAAATTATGAAAAAGAATACACAATAATTCTATTTTTAACTTTTATTTCTTAAAACTATTTGACTATCAGTTCAGTTCATTAATGATGGTAAGCATTGTATACTGGAGCAGCGACAAATGTCTTGGATGGAATGAAAGCTTTGGCAACGACGGCTTTTTGGACGATTGGTTCTCCCTTGTATTCGACGTTGGCGTTGAATCCGCTGTGGGAGTCAGCAGAATAGTGGACAGTACGGGTGACACCATCAGGTTGAACCAAAGTGTAGTATCCCTTTACAACATCTCCATCGCGTTCTTCGTGTTGGTTCTTGACATCACCGGTGTGAGCATCTGGACACCATATTCGTAGGAATATTGTGGGTGAGCATCAGCATATACTTCTTGGTGGACGGCTTTGACGATTGGTGAGGCATATTGGGCTACTGGGGCGGCGTAGTGGGCTATTGGGGCGGCGTAGTGGGCTACTGGAGCGGCAGCGTAATGAGTAATTGGGGCGGCGGCATAGTGAGCAGCAACTGGTGCGGCGTAGTGGGCAACTGGTGCTACGTGTTGGTTGATGGAGGAGTAGGATGTGGCATGTTGTCCATGTCCAAGCTCGAAAACTCCAGCTTGAGCGCAAGCTACCATAGCGAAAACGGCAAGAATCTATAATATAATTTACTTTTAGTATAACAAATATCTTAATTAAAAATATTATTTATGAATTACCTTAGCGAACATGTTGAATGCTTGTGATACAATTCGATACTGTACCGAAAGAATGCTCGCGCTTTTATATGAATCCATTCCACTTTCGTATTTGCAACATAATTACATAACTTGAGATTCTTGAATTTCAACTCGAAAAAAATTGTAAATTTAGTTTACTGTTTGTTACAAATATATTATTTATTTCGCAATAATAACTGACTTGTATAATGAATCCTCATATTAGTTTAATGATTGAAACATCCATTTTCCATTAACTATATACATATTTTCACAAATACTGTAAATTCTTTTGTTTGATTTAGCTTTAATGTAATTTAGAAACCGCACACCTACAGAATATATAATTTTGTTTGGTCATGTACCTTATAAATATTATTAATTCAGAATAAATTAATGTATTAAATTGTTTAACAAAATCTTTCGGGATATTAACATATTCGTATTCTAAAAGACTGGTCATTTGTTCTAATGAAAAAATGACTTAGTTAATTTTGATTTTTTTTTTAAATTATTATTGTATTCATAAATTATCAGCAAGTATTTATTGAGTACATCAATATGAAAGTACCGCATACTTACTTCTTTGAGAACATAAAATCGTTCATGATGGAATGGCAAGAAGAATACCTTTTGGACAGTTAGACCAAAGGAAGGCTTTACTCAATAGGACAATGAAGAGCACCCCATGGTTCACAGAACTAGGTATCTATAAAAAACGTCAAGTCTCCACACTCTCAAGAATACGTTCAGTGCATTCCTTATCCCCATCTCATCTATACAGAGTGGGACTATCTGAGTCCGGCCTTGGTTCGTGTGGAGCTATAGGTACAATTAACCATATTCTCTTTGAATGCCCTAACAACGCTACGGCGACGAAGACTCTACTTTGTATCATTTCGAAACACTAACAGTTGCCCACTTCTGTATGAAATATGTCGAAAAGTTATCGAATATAATATTGTGTCATTATTTAAATTTTTATTCCACTTTATAGTCTATTATTCAGGTATTATATTTTAAGACAGTAATTAATAAAAATAATTATATTTAATGAAACAATAACATACTTACATAAATAATAATATACATGAATCCCTGTATTTACCCGATTTTCCGTTCCACTTGGATTTTTTTGTTACGCGAATAAAAATCGTAAATAAACTGTGTACAACATAAAAATGGAAATATAGCTTAATAAATATAAATTTTCAGAAAATAAGAGTAAATTGTATTCACTATCACTATCGTTATTTAAAATAAACAACCTTTTATTTTATTTGCCACAAAGTTATCATCTTCGTTGCATGAAAATTCGAATTATATTTTTATCAATATTTTATTCTATCAAGTTTTCATAAATTTGCTGAAATTCGCTGCAACATTTTCTTTAATTATTACTGAAAATATTAAGACCGCGTAAATTAATTTCGCATATAAAATATACCCTGTAAATATAGTTCTAATTTACGACTAAAAAAACCCTCGTATAAAATTAGTACCGCGTAAATACAGGGACGCCTGTGCTAAAATGCACGAAATAATTTTCAAGTATCACTAGAATGGGCTTCCGTCGGTTTTTCGTCCTAACTTTATAAGTAAATTAGTTGATTTAAAAATAATTAACACAACGTTAATCTAAACCGTTTATTTACAAACTAACCTTTATTGTCTTTGAGACAATAAAGGAAAGTTTTAATAAAATTTATCTTAAATTTTAAATGATTGTCAATATATTATACGTTGTTGCATGTACTAATTTCAATGGTGGTGCGCTTTATATACTGGGGCAGCAGCAACGATGGTCATGGCTACAACAGCTTTTTAGACGATCGACTCTTTGTATTCTACTGTCCTTAACAACATCTCCATCGGGTATTTCATCTTGGTTCTTGATATGACTGGAATGAGCATCTAGATCACCGTATTCACAGTCATATTGCGGGTGAGCAATATTAATTCTTCAAAATAATTAAAACATAATATAATTGGTATATTATCTAATATAGTATAGTTATATATAGTATAGTTAAATGTATTTTAATAGAAATAATAAAACTTAGCAATAAGACTTTAGTAGATAGGCTTTTTGTATAAATTATGACAAATAAACAATTTCCAATAATATAATAATAATATCTATCTTAAACAAATATTCAGAAATCGATAAATCTAACATAGCTTTAAAAATAATCTATTTTAATGTTTAAATTATTAATTAAGCAAAATGAAATAATTTGTCTATTGAATTATTCATGATTGAAGTAAAAAAAATCATTAACTAATTAAAAATTGTAGAATCATTTTTAGAAAATAAATTATATCCATATTAGAAAACCATTAAATTTCAAGTTATATATAACGTTATATTATAAAAAACTCTTACTTGTAGTATAAATATCAAATTACTATAAATATACTTTCAATAATTATATATATTTCAGATACTCCATTCTAGAATTAGTTGATAGCAGAGAATAAATGATTATGTTAAATTTGTAGACACAAAAGAGTATTATCATTCTGTATGGATAAAGTGAACCTTAATAAAACAACTTTTTTTTAAAATTTAAATCTTATACTTTAATAAATAAATTCAACAATGTAATTCTTTAATGATGGTATGCTTTATATACTGGGGCAGCAGCAACGATTGTCTTGGCTACAACAGCTTTTTGGACGATTGGCTCTCCTTTGTATTCTACTTCAGCGTTGAATCCGTTGTGGGCATCAGCGGTGTAGTGGACGGTACGGGTGACGCCATCAGGTTGGACCAAGGTGTAGTATCCCTTGACAACATCTCCGTCACGTTCTTCGTGTTGGTTCTTGATATCACCGGTGTGGGCATCTTGGACTCCGTATTGGTAAGAGTATTCTGGGTGGGTGTCTGGGTATACTTCTTGGTGGACAGACTTGACGATTGGGGTGGCGTAGTGAGCTACTGGGGCGACAGTCTTGATAACAGCTGGGAGATTGTGGTAAGCAGCGACTGGAGCGGCGTGGTAAGCTGCCACGGGGGCGGCGTGGTAAGCAGCTACTGGGGCGGCGTAGTGAGAAACTGGAGCGACAGTCTTAACTACGGCTGGGGCATGGTGGTAAGCGGCTACTGGGGCGGCGTAGTGAGCAGCAACTGGGGCAGAATAATATTATATATTGATCAATTACCTTAGTGAACATGTTGTATGCTTGTGATACAATTCGATACTGTTTAGTAAAATACTCTCTCTTTTATATAAATCCATTCCACTCCAAATTTTAGGAATGTATTACGTAACATCACGCAAATTACGAATTCATAGTTTGAACTTGAAACAGTTTCTGTTAAGAGAGGTGCCATATATTCATAGCAATTGTCCATATCGAGATTAAATAAAACGTATGGTTTTGATGTTCATTTATGAAATAATGCAATAGTTAGATAATTTACCAGTTCCATAATGCTATAATGTTGTATATATTACATTGACTGTGATTATGACCGTGATTATAAAATCACTACTTACTTTAATATCTATTATTCCAACCATCAGTAGAACCCTGTTCTAACTTTTCTTTGTTCTTCATATAATTTAATAGCTGTTGCAAGATACCATGACGTTGTTAATTAGCCAATTGCTTCGATTTGGCATCTCTTTTTTGTATATTCACGTTATTTGGGTTAAAATTTTCCATTTTGAAAATACAGCGGTGAGTATTATATATTTCTTAAAAAAAAAATTTTGGTATTCAAATTTCAACTTAACTCAAAAGAAAACGACTGTCAAATATGTTAAATTATTTAGATATCAATGTAAACAATATCAATATAATGAATGTCGCCCAGACATTCTGTGAGGTTCGGCATATTGACTTCCAGCCAAATTTATGGACAATGACAGTGTTGAAAGATAGTAGCAGTAGTAGAAACTACAACATGCCACATCCTACTCCTCCATCAACCAACACGTAGCACCAGTTGCCCACTACGCCGCACCAGTTGCTGCTCACTATGCCGCCGCCCCAATTACTCATTACGCTGCCGCTCCAGTAGCCCACTACGCCGCCCCAATAGCCCACTACGCCGCCCCAGTAGCCCAATATGCCTCACCAATCGTCAAAGCCGTCCACCAAGAAGTATATGCTGATGCTCACCCACAATATTCCTACGAATATGGTGTCCAGGATGCTCACACCGGTGATGTCAAGAACCAACACGAAGAACGCGATGGAGATGTTGTAAAGGGATACTACACTTTGGTTCAACCTGATGGTGTCACCCGTACTGTCCACTATTCTGCTGACTCCCACAGCGGATTCAACGCCAACGTCGAATACAAGGGAGAACCAATCGTCCAAAAAGCCGTCGTTGCCAAAGCTTTCATTCCATCCAAGACATTTGTCGCTGCTCCAGTATACAATGCTTACCATCATTAATGAACTGAACTGATAGTCAAATAGTTTTAAGAAATAAAAGTTAAAAATAGAATTATTGTGTATTCTTTTTCATAATTTAAGGTAAATAATAATAGCTGAAAATGATGTAGTAAATATATATGCAATAAATTAAGTATATAATTTAATTAATAATAATATTTTACATACATAAAAATAGAAAAATCA